TATTTAATATATATTATAGTATATAATATATATTATATAATATACTATAAGTTATATAGTATAGGCTACATGTAGCTACAGCTATATATAAATTTTTCTTTATTTATTAATTAAATAAAAAATTAGATATTATATTTATAAAATTAAAATAATTATGATTGCGATTGCTAAAGCTCAGATTTATTAAAATTGGCCAGCTTTAGCAATAATAATCTATTGCTATGATTTCTCAAAAGCCAATGCTTCCCTTTACTGAATGTATGAAAGAAATATTTCAATTTGTTAAGAAAAATGATGAACCTCTATATCCTTCTTATTTGTGGATAAGTTCTTTATACAATAGCAGTTATATAATACTTCTAATATCATCTCATTAGCCTTAGTTAATTCTAGATAAATTTTCAAAGCATCTTCATAGTTTTTATTATTGCATAAATGATTTGTGATTCTTAAAGCAAAAGCTTTATCTTGTTTCACACCATGTCCATACATATCACAAAATGCTAAATAATATATTTAATTTGGCGATGGGTTTTAGGCTTCAAATTAGATTCCTTCGTTAAATCATCTAAAGTGGAAAAGGTATAATCATATATGCCTTTGTATTTATCAATCATATAATTAATTCTTAATATAATGTCCTTATTCTCTTTATTCATAGTTTAGACTTAAAATAAAGATAGAATATATTTTTTGAAAAAAAAGTGAGATAGATCTTGTTAAATACAATCTTTGTACTTTTAGAAAAATAGACTTCAATTGTTGGATTTATAAATTACGAAAGCTTTTTTATAATTTACATTAAATTATTTTATTAAATTAGTTTCATCATCCCACAATTATAAACTAATAGATAACAATAAGATCTTAATTTATGATGTGACCAAATTTGCTTTTCAAATCAATTTATAAGACTTTGTCAATTATTTCAAAATAAAATTTAATCATTCAATTAAAATAATTGAAAACATTTAACTGAAAAATTAATAGTAACTATTAAGATAAAAATATATATATTTTTATCATATTATCCAAAATTAATCGTGAAAGCATGGTTAATCATAATATTAAAAAAGAGAATCTAAGAAAGAAAAAAGGCATTGTAATCGAAGAAAATTTATTAAAACAATTTCCTTTACAACAATTAAATTTTTATGCATTCAAAGATGGTATTAGTTTGATTGGAGCCTTTAATATCCAAGCATTTGGTCTTAAAAAGTTAGAAAATGATGATATAATAAAAATAATCATTCATATCCTTCGACGATACAATATTGTTCTTTGCCAAGAAGTTCATTTTAATGAAAAAATGATTGAGAAACTTGTCAATATGGTATCCAGCCCTTCTGTCCTATATTCTTATACTGTAAGCTGCTTTGTTAGTAAAACTTTAAATAAAGAAATATTTGGTAAACATTCATATAAAGAGAAATATCTTTATTTATATAGAAAGAATGAGTGAAAATTACTAAATAACTTTATAGTTAATAATAATAAAATTATTAGAGGACCTTATGTTGTTTGATTTTAGCATCTGAAAAAACTACATGTAAAAATTACACTTATTGGTTGTCATACACAGCCAGGACATGCATTCGGCAAAATAAAAGCATTAGTAACTGATATATATGCTTATGTTAAAGAGAAATCAGTAAAAAGAAGTGGTCTTTCTCATTTATTAAGTCTATTATGTTTGAATACAAAAGAAGTAACAATTTTTAGAGAAAATTGTGGACATATAATTTTGATGGGTGATTTCAATGCATCAGGTTCTTATCTTAAAGAAACAAAGCAAGAAGAACTTGATGAAATATTGATTCAAAACAATCTGATGTGGGTAATTAGTCATTCATGTGATACTACTGTTGCTTCTAATCGTACAGCCTATGATAGGTTTATATTCGAGATAAAGAATAAAAACAGATTGATTGAAGATGCCAGGATTTTGGAATTTGACAAATTTTGAAAAAATAAATACAATCTATCTTTGATAACAAAACTCGCAATGTGTGTCTCGGATCATTATCCTATTGAGTTTGAATTAAAATTAAAATAACTGTAACAAGCGATAAAAATTATAGTACAACCAATATGAATTCGATATCTTCGAAGTATTCCAGGTTATTAATTAAAAATGGTTAAATATATATTTTAGCAAATAAAGTCTCAAGACATGTATAGGAGAGTTAGAAGAAAGGAGACACATTTACATAGCGGTGTTTAGGATAATAAAGAGACACAAAGTAGTTGTATTAATAAAATTTTACAGTATAGCTCTTTGAAATCTGTATTTTCTTATAAGATTTTTTTTGTCAATTTTACTCTTCTTCTAGCACCAATCCCATATATAACTGATAGTAATTTTATGTCCAATACGTAATAATGGTTTCAAATATAGAAATATATTAGATTTTATATTTAATATATTTAGAATTTCTTTGATAAAGATTATAATCGATTATAATTATAAATACAATTTTCTCATTTTGATTATTGCTGGTTTATAGCAAATAGTAGATGATTCTACTAATGTACATCATGCTATTACCTAATTGAAAATTTTCCAAAACATATTGATTGTTAGATAAGAATTTGGCCGAAGAATTATAAATGTCATAATGTTTAATATAAAAGTTTATTCACTTTATTTTTCGCTAAATGATTTGTGATAGATTTGTTTTGCAGACAAACTTCAAAATATTTGTACTCTGCAAAATCAACAAATTTTGAATTTGAATCAAATATTTAATTTGTTTTGATTCTAACTTAGATCAATAAAACATTGTGATACTGACCAATCATATTTTTTTTTGTATTTTTTACAAAAATGGAAACAGTGTGATATTGATTAATCATATTTTTTTCGTATTTTACAAAAATAGATAATTGATAAACATCTCAATACTACCAATCATATTTTTTGTATCTTACAAAAATGGATAATTGATAAATATCTCGATGCTGACAAATCATAATATTTAACGGTATAAGTCAACCCTAATTACAACGTAATTGTCATAAAAAACATAACAATAAGTAATTATATCTTGCTGAAGGTTGAATATTATAAACTCGAAGGTCAAAGAATGATTTCTTTGAAAATACTTACGTTTAAATGTACATATAAATAAACCAATCAAAATACTTTTAACATTACAGTTTAATGCTTTAATATATTGTATATATTTGTACATACTCATTGACATCTACCAGCTACATGTAAATTTGTTTTCAATTAGTTGCTATTAGCAAGCTTATCTTATTGCGCTAACTATTACATATTTTAAGTGTATTGATGAGTTAATAATCTTTATTTGAATGTTATTGCAGAAGTATGAAATACATATATTCATTTAAGCTACCTTTTATATAGCTTTTTCATAATGAAATCTAATTCTACCATCTGCATTTTTACAAAATGTGAACTTTTTATCATTTTCTTGAATGTAAAGCTTACCAGATTCTATGTTCTTATTGAAATAAAGTTTATCAATAAATTCTTCAAGTTTTTCACAATAATCTGACAAATTATCTAAAGATGGTAAATCATAATCTTTACTTTCAAAATCAATTGAAACTTCTGCTTGTACTGGTTTAAACCCAACTTTTTTAAGGATACTCCATGAAGCGATGTTTTTAGACCTAACTGTAATGTAAAATTGTTATAATTCTTTGCCATTAAATTAAAAGATTTCTTGTATCCTTTGATTATTTTGTTGGTCAAAATTTTTTCCTAAGCCAATTCTATGTACTTCTGAGCCCTACTCATTAACTATCTTACTTAAGACTGAGTATCTGATCCCTTTACTCCAATACTTCTGAGACAATGCGTAGACTATTTCGGATCTGCCTTTTTTTCAGGTTTAGATAGTATAAATCCTATGAAATTATTTTGTTCATCAAGAATGGCAAGCGTGCCTTTTGGTTGTCTGATTTGATATTCATTATTTACTCTAAACTCAATTTTCTTGCTACTTAATTCCCTTTCTTGATACATATATTTCATAATATTATATCAGATAATAGATGTTCATAATTTGGTATGTCATGCTTCTGAATTTCTCAAGCAGTCTATTCTTTATTATTTTTATCAATACCATTAAGACATACCAATATCACATCATTATCTGAGAATTTAAAAATTGATTTTGTCATACTTTGTAAGTATTCTATTGAAGCTTCTAAAGAAATTTAAAGTATAAATTTGATTTTTTTGCAGATCTCTAAACATGAATATATAAGAATCCAATACTGTTATCTACAATTAACAAATTAAAATAGCAGAAACCCTACAAAATAATAATTAAATTATTTTATTGATAAATTTAATTTGACTAATCAAAATTTTACATTCACTTTCTATGGCGTTATTAAGTATTGTAGAAAGTGTAATAATTAATACTGCTCCTCATAGAGATTTAATTATTTCAATTAAAATAGAATAATTCAGTAACTATAATTTTTGAAAGAGGATCTAATATTGTCTAAAATTATTTAAATTATGTAAAGTTAAGAATACATAACTTATATTTAATGATGCAAGAATATTCGAATAACCAAATCGACAGTTTTTTAAAATTACTTCGTATTTTTTTGAGCAAAATGCACACCTAATTGCTAAAGATGATAAACATCAATATATTTGCATAACATGCAAATATGAATCAATGAGATGCATAAGATGCAAAATAAATAAAGCTATTTTTTCAACAAAATTGGTATTCCATTGCAAAATATGTGATTGTGTTTTTTTGAGGGAGCATGCTATTAAACAGCATAACAAAGCAAAAAATAATATGTAAAGGAAAAAAATAGGTGATTAGTTAATTTTATTTAAAAATATTTAATTATATATATATATTTACTAAAATAATCTGCTATATCTAATATATTACATTTAAAAAAAAAACTTGTGCTGAATACTGATAAAAGTATAATTCTTTTATACAAATTTATACAGATAATATTTTTTCTTAGAAATCTTGTATCATTAGCTCTTAAAAATTACCTGCATTGCAAAACTAAATTGTATTGATTATGTAAGACTTCGATAAAGTATGTAGTCTTTCAATTAGTAAATAAAAATTGAGCTATAATATTTTTAAAGGATTTATTATTAAAGATAATTGTTCAATTAGCTGAGTATTAAAAATAATTCAATGCAGTAAAATTTTTATATGCCATTATTTTTTAAATGATTCATTAAAATAATTGTTATAAGAAACTATTGGATTTATTAGATGAATAATAGAATTCTTGAAGCAAATGTATTATGCACAACTCTTCACAGTTTTAAGAAAATTTTTGGATAATACGTAACCAAATTTTAATTACTTGTTATTATTCAATTACAGTAATCATGGAATCTAACAAATTGAAAATAATAGATGATAATTATTGCATGATAAAATTTTCTAGAGTCACTTGGTATTAAATTTTATTTCACAAGAATCAGGCGAAAAACAACATTTCTTTCTAAAAACTAATTAATTTATTATATAATTCCCATATATCGATTAGAGAAGCGATCAAGCAATCAATGAATCTTCTATTTGTTCAAACTGCAAAATTAATAATTAGAATTAAGATTAAGGATATAAAACTTGTTAATGAAAAAATTTTGATAAAATAATTTCAAATATTTGATTCAAAATTTGATTTGTTTTGTAGAGTACTAAAATTATTTAGCTACTTACTATTTTATGCAGATTTTTTAACCATATATAATCGCACTTGGTAATTCAATTTTTAACTATTTTGTATATATAAAGTTTACATAAAGTTTATATAAAGTTTACATGAACAAGTTAAATATTTAAAGGGAATTAGATCATTATTTTTTTATCATTAATGATTTAATAGTTAAAAAAAAGCTTACGATCTAAGCTTACTTTTGAATATTAAGTCATCAAGATATATGAGCTGTGAAAGTTAAGATATTAATATTTTTTTAAATGTTAATTTGCTAACATAAATTAATTTTAAATATTAATAGATACAATTCTTTGAAATTCTTCTGAACAATTTATAGAAGAGATCACGAAACACTAAACTAGTAACGGTAAAATCAAACATTAATTAAAGCCACATATGATAAATATTTTTTATGTAAATCCAAATTTACTGTGGATAATAACAACTTTCGGTACGCTTTTCTCTCAAACTAGTATAATAATTAATGCTCTAATTTTTTTTAAAAGATAGAGCAAATTGTATACTTTAATGTAATAGAGCTATTTTTTCGATTTATACTATTTTATAAGTAGTAAATTCTTTAACAATGTAAAATAAACTTTATCTAAATTTGACAAACATAAAGCTAATGAAAATTGTAAAACTGAGCCTATTTTTGAAAAGAGCATAATAAAAGCTATCGATTAAAAAAAATTGACATAAAAAAACCATATTCTTCGCTCAAAAAGTGTACCTTTAGTAGTTATTTTAAAAAATATGGTATATAGCACTAATAAAGAAAACAACCTGTATAGTTAATTTTCTGAAATTTCCAAAATTATTAAAATAACTGATAAAAAATCCTCAATAATAAATAATACATGTAACCCTACTTATGGATTTGATTTATCGATTTTATAATCACCCTAATGAAACACCCACTCATAACAAAGTTAGAACTACGATCATATGATCTCAGGACCCGTAGGTTAGGGTGTTCAGGGTATACATGAAATACATGAAATACATGAAATACACCTATTATATGAAGGAATAAATAATGAATTCATTAATTTAGTTTGCATTCAAAATATATTTACATATATTTAGTAACTAGGATGATATATAATACCTAAGAATTTCCGTCAGAAAGAAACTCTTCGGGAAGGATAGGACCGGATACTTGTTGAATTTCTTGAATATGGAGAAAAAGCTGATATTCTAAATCAGCAATCCGTAGAAAGGGATCTGGAGGAGGGATGATAGAGTTATTAGATTCGAGACGAAAACTAAAAGTACCAGACACCGAAGGACTATTGAACGAATTGCTGCCGGATGATTTGGAAATTTTCGAATGACAGGTCATGGTAATAGATTGCGAGAAATTAGCCACAAATAGTTTTCGTATCATGTGATATATGGCAATTTGTAAGCGAATAGGAATCAGAAAATGGGGAAAGGCCTTATATTTATAAGAAAGAAAAAATTTTTAACAAACAAACTAAGCATGAGATAGCTTTTGATGTTGGAAAGAACAAAAGATGGCATAAAGCACCAAGAAACTAACAAATGGCATTATTATCGCAATTGCGTTTACAAAATCGAAATATCCAAAGAACTGAATAACTGCATTACATTTCTACTTATAAATAGGAATTTCTGCTTATGTACTCCTGTATTCAGACAATTTCCTTATTTAGTCAAACAGAATATCAGATGAACACGTGTTTGTATGCTTATTGGCAGATTTCCAAGTTCTGTTATTCAGTATCTACAACTGCATAAATTGTATTCTTGATATCTATATAACCCGCTAACCCTAACTGCATCAAAAAAGTAACTCTAACTGGTACCTGGCTTTAATGTTCTCCAAAATACTAAAATAAGGAAGATTATAATCAAAAATGGAATCACTACATACACTTTAAGATTTATTAGGTAACGATAACGATAACGATAAGTTTCCTAATGCTAACTAAAATTGGTTCAGATTACCATTTTATAAAGTTTCAATATGTAAATTTTTTTGCTCATTGATTACTCTAAGATACTGTATTTATTGTGATGCCATTAAGTTTTATTTTATTAATATAAAATTTTGATGAACTATACAAATAGAGAAATTTTTATTGTTATTAACTATGTTAGGAATGAAAATAGATATGCATTTAGATAGTATCGACTGTATATTGTATTAAACTTCTGCATCACTTAATCAGAATTAAATTTAAATAATACAACAAATAAATGAATATAGAACCGTGGATTGAATGTATAAAAATAACCATGATTAATAAAAATAAAAGACCACAACTAATCTTTAAAAGTCACGATTAATAAAGTTAAAAAGACACTTTTTTTTATAAAAGTTCATAATTGATTAAATTAAAATACCATGTTTAATTTCATAAAAAGGTCATAATTAAATAAAAAAAAAAGATCATGACTATTTTAATTAAGTGAAATTTATTAAAAAGTTTATCTGTAACATAAATGGAACGGTGCATTTTAAAGACAATATTGGATATTTAAGAAAATCAAATAACTGATAGAAGTTGTTATATTCAAATAGGAATCAGGTTAGTGATGCTTGATGAAATGACAAAACCTAACAAAACTTGACGAAACCATATAGTTTCGTCAATTCCTCAATTGATGAACCTTATGTTTTTGTTAGATTTCGTCATTTTGTCAGGCATCACTAGATCAGGTCCGGTAAAAAAGATAAAGACTTTTAATAATTATTCCTCAGTTGATATATTTAGTGCTTTACAAACAAATAAGGTAGTTTATTTACAAGTTTATGAATATACTGCACAGTGCTCTAGATTATTGATTGAAAGAGTACTAAAAGACTTTTAAGTAATTTTTGTTTTCTTGTTTTATATTTGCATTTTAAGTTTTTGGATTTAAATTGCATTCTTAGCTTTTCAGGCTGCAACTTATAACACACTTTTTCAGATTCTGGCAGTTTATTCCATTCATTTTCAGCGATTTTTGAGATTTGACGGGTGTCCATACTTGGATTATCTTTTATTTTTTCTTTTTGATATAATATAAAGGTGTTTAATAGATGTTTAATAGGATCGAAGATCAATGCTGGAACACGTATATTTAGTTCTGGGAATTCTTTGATTGTTTTCAATTTTTTGTAGTATCTTCACGAATAAGAAACGGAGAGTATTCTTGTGGAATAAAAATGAATATTCTATTATTACGTTCAATATTTTGAAAACCATCAGATTCTTCAATCGAAACAAAATTATTGGGATTCATTTATATATATACTTTTTAAAAAATACTTATTAATAGTTTCAGATGTATTGTTGAATATAAAATTAGCCATAAATTGTATTGTTATCACTTTTTTTAATTTTTTAATTTTTTTTTTTTGGTTTTAAGGTGACCTCTTAGTCGATTCTCTTTATTCAGTTATTAGTCAAGTTTTACTATACGTTAGGCCCCTTATAACGCCCGTACAGTATACATATTTTGGAGAGTACAAACTAGCCACACGTACAACTTTTGATTGCCTATTTAAGTAGT